CAGGTATTTTGGTCACTTACACAAAAAGCTGACTAACATAGTACTGAATTCTGTATCTATGTTTTTTACTACAAGTACCTACCTATGATAACATCTAATTTATAAACTAGGCCCAAGTAAATAATTAACAATAATAACTAATAATAAAGTAGAACAATTGTAACAATATAGCATGGACAAGGCCTTGGGTTCAATCCTTAGCATCACTAGGGGGCGGGGGGGGGCGGGGGCGACAAAGAAAGAAAAAACTTTAAAATGCTGTCTAGCTGGTTGGGGTTAGCACATTCTGTCTTTCAACTTTTTTCTTTCTCCTTTTTCTTTGTGGGTGGTGCTGGGGGAAGTGTCAAGTAGGTAGGTACTCTACACTAAGTTATAACCCCAGTCTTCCAATTTTGACTCCTGTTTCTGAAATCCCTCCCTATAGATGTTGAATCTGCAAGTCAAAGCCTTGGGTTTTCCCCAAGGTCCAGCAGTTAAGGGGATCCACATACCTGTGCCAAGGGAGATGTCAAGTGCAGATGTCACTGTTCTCCCTCTCCCCCTGAAGAGCTGCTTCTGGGAGAGGGAAGGATAGAGTTGGCCTTAATCTAGTGACCTTTCCATTTATGTTCCTTTTCTGTAACTGAGAGCCCCAGAGTGTGATGAGAACTGAAGAGAAGGCCAGACCTTCTTAAAAACAAACAACAAAAACAACAACAACAAACTGCTATCCACTGACAAAAAAAAAAAAATACAGCATTATCATCGATTTTTTTTTCATCAATAAACGTGATAATTTCACTTGCCTCCATGCTAGAAGAGTATTTCGTAATAGCCATGTAAAAGAATAGAATTCTCAGGGCTAGGAGTAGCTCAATAGCAGAGCACATGCTTACCATGCATTCAGCCCTAGATTAGATCTCCAGCACAGCAAAAGTAATAATAATTGTAATTACTTAATTAATTGATTATTTTTTTCATGGGATGAAATGTTTTAATGTTTTAACAAAGAACAATAAACTTCAGAAAAGTGACAACATAATGTGAGAACAATTTTAGGCATTAGCCCAAAGCGGGGAAAACTAGGAAGAAATGAAGAATGAGGTCTGCTCACAGACTTCTCTGGTGCCTTCCCAGCACCATCTCTGAACTGACAAACACTGCCTATTGTGGTTTATTCTTTGACACACAAATGCATATGATTTGCTGATTTGAAAAAAAAATTAGAGTTAAAAGCAAATATTAAAATTTAAGTTAAATTCTAATAGGTAGTCAAGTTTAAGAAGAGAAGCAGTGCCTATGATTTATACATTAAAAAATATTTACTAAATGTATACTATGTGTTATGTGCTATTCCTGGTGCTAAGAAAATTTGTATTTAATTTCAAAATATTTGGAGATTTTCCAGGTACTTCTGTTGTTTATTTCTACTTTAACTCTCAAGGGGTTAAAACTTGTACAATTTCAAGATTTTAAGTTTGTTGAGATCTGTTTTACAATGCAGAAAATAGTGTATCTTGATGAATATCCATGTGTACTTAGAAAGAATGCATATTCTGCTGGCATTGAGTGATATATATGTTCTGTAAATGTCAGTAAGATCAAGTTGATCAATTATATAATTCAGATCTTCTATACCTTTACTGACTTTCTAACTACTAATTCTTATAAATACTAAGAAGACTGAAGTCTCCACACAGTACTACAGGCATGCTTGCATACATAAGGAGTACATAAGCAAACATACAATGTCATAAGCAAAATTAAATACAAATTATATTTTAGGTTTATTTCCCATATTATAAAAATATAGCATATCCATTGTAGAGCAATGTAAAAATTCAATAAAATGCTTATCTGAGCACCCATGTTGGCTTTACTCCTTATTCTGACTTGAATGAAAAGAGGTATGGAGTGTGTCAAAATGGTATGGCAATGATACAGTCCTAGCCCAACCCACCATCTCAGATCCACAGCCAGAATCATGCTGGAATACACTAGCATCCTACCCAATCTTTCTCAGAAGTCATCAGACATTTACCTATGATAGTTCTACTAGACTTGAATTTTTTCTCCTACTGCCTGACTCTCTAATACTGTCTAGATGTTTAAAATCTTTTCAAAATTTAAGAATCTTAAGAATTCTTTTTCCATCCTACAAGATGCCACTGTAATCTGATTATAGTAAGATATTTTGCCACCTAAAACTACATTTTATCACTATTAAAATCAATATTAGGTGAAGGGGAGTGAAGGCAGGGGAGGGGACATGGGGATAGGAAGGACAGTAGAATAAACAGATATTATTACCTTATGCACATGTATGACTCATTACCAATGTGATTCTACATGTACAATCAGAAAAATGAGAAATTAGACCCCATTTATGTATGATATATTGAAGTACATAAATGCATTCTACCGTCATGTATAACTAATTGAAACATATAAAAAATTATTAAAAAACAATATTAAAGCTGGGCACAGTGGCGCAGGCCTATAATCCCAGGAGGCTGAGGCAGGAGGATCACGAGTTCAAAGCTCAGCAATGGCGATGCTAAGCAATTCAGTGAGACCTTATCTCTAAAAAAAATACAAAATAGGGCTGGGGATGTGGCTCAGTGGTCAAGTGCCCCTGAGTTCAATCCCTGGTACCAAAA